ACTTGTGACCTTGTCCATAGTATGTGTGTGTCAGCCAATGGCTTCATGGTAAAAATGGCCGCTAAGATCCCAGCCACTTCCCTGAAGCCTAAAGGTAAACATCCATTTATTTTATCTTTGTGCAATTAAATTACACCATTCTGTATCATGGCATCCATCATCTGTGTGTGTTGAAATTAAGTTTTGCCCTCTTGTTTCTATATAGAATATGCATCAGTCCCTCTTTTTATTGCTCTTTCTGTCTGCAGAAAAAGTAGTTCCCTGTAATGAGACGGTAGCATGTGCTAGCGGTACCACCTGCTGTAAAACACAAGAAGGCACCTGGGCTTGCTGCCCTTTACCAAAGGTATTCAAGCTGTCAAGATTTATTTTAAAACGGTTTCGGGTTGATTGTGGCCCAGTATCATTTATGCATGTGAAAACCCAGCCCCAAACAAAAGTTTGTGAGCTCAAATCATCAATTTCTATTGGAGGAAAACATAAAATAGTGTTTGGAGTAATGTTGTCCTCATCTCCAGGCGGTGTGTTGTGAGGACCATATCCACTGCTGTCCAGAGGACACGGTGTGTGACCTCGCGGCAAGCACCTGTGATGACCCTGCTGACCTTTCAGTGTCTGTACCCTGGATGGCAAAGGTGCCCACCTTTCCAATAGCTTCATCCAATCAGAAATGCGATGAGACATCTTCGTGCCCTGATGGTTCCACCTGCTGCAGACTCTCTTCTGGAAAATGGGGCTGCTGCCCTCTGCCACAAGTAAATACTTTTTCTTTGTCTCATTTTAACATAAACATGCTTATTGGTAAAACTGTAATTTTAAATGTGTATATACTGCATATGTATTTATTTAAAATAAATGAATATTTTATATTTATTTTATTTTGAACAACCTGCTGTAATCTAACCTCCGGCTCATGGGCCTGCTGTCCTATGCCACAGGTACAAACACATTTAACAATAAGGGGTTAAACCTACAGCAATATAACAAGAGCATGCTTGCACTTTTAATGGCATAAAATGCATAAATGTGACCCTGGACCACAAAACCAGTCTTGGTATCGATGGGGTATATTTGTAGCAATAGCCAAAAATACATTGTATGG